TGAACTTTATAGAATATGTCAGAATATATGAACCTAATAGAATATGTCAGAATTTATGAACCTAATAGAATATGTCGGAATACATGAACCTAATAGAATATGTAAGAACATATGAACCTTATAGAATATGTCAGAATGTATGAACTTCTCAAAATGTCTCTAAAAAGATGTGACGTGTTCCATGTCTAGTGGATTAATTTATTCTCCTTTTTCCAGCGATATGTTGTAAACTACATACGTGTCTAAAGTGGTATCTAATCTCTTTTAGATGAATGTTCTGTTGGTGTCAGTGGGTTTGTCTTTTGAACAAAGATTTCTCCCGGTCCTCCTCAGTGGTCAGTTCTGTGAGGCGTCCCTCCAGCCCCCCCCGCCCCCCCCGCCCTGCCGGCTGTCTCCGTGCCAGAACGGCGCCACCTGCGAGGAGAAGGCGGGGGCCGCGCTCTGCCACTGCCCGCCGGGCTTCGAGGGCCTGAGCTGCGAGAGGCTGGTCAGCGTCAACTTTGTGGACAGGGATTCTTACGTTCAGCTCCAAGACGTCAAAAACTGGTCTCAGACCAACATCACGCTGCAGGTGAGGGCACAGGTCAGTGTCTGGACAGGAAACAGACTCACGATGGTGTTACTGATCCATGTGTGTGTGTGTGTGTGTATCAGGTGTCAACAGCGGAGGAAAATGGCATCTTGCTCTATAATGGATACGATGAACCAATAGCTGTAGAGCTCCATCAGGGTCACGTGAGAGTCACCTATGATCCTGGGAACATGCCCGCCACCACCATCTACAGGTGCACACAAACAAACCGTTTTAATGTTTGAATCCAGCTCAATCTGTGTGTAAGTCATTAATAGGAGTGTGTTTGCTCCCTGGGACAAGGCCAGACGACCTAATGTTTCCTCAAAGTTCTCGGATGAAAGCACCGAATCTTCATCTCTAAATAAAAAGCTTTAGCTCTTCATATTTTTGTAAAAGAAACAACATAAAAATTGTGTAAATGCTGTTCTGATTTGAGATTTTCTTTCTGTCAATGAGACAGTTTGTGATTATAGTTTGTCAGAGATAATTATTTCCACAAATACACATTAAAACCAATGCTCTGACATGTTTTCCTTTGTAAATCTTTAAGAAAAATGCCTCAAATTACATTTGTGGATATTATGGGATGTTACTAGGAACAACATGTTCACTACACTAATGTACTAACTTAAAGTTTCCTCCACTTAGTGGGATTAACATGTGCATAAATCAGAATGTCAACATTAGAGAGAGTTTAGCATATTCAGAGACTGGAAAAGGGTCAGTGTAGTGGCTCTTTGGAAGCTTATTCTTTCCTTCCAGAAAACCCCTTTTACAAGCTCACAATTGAATTTTCAGCTAGGAACACACAGCTCCATAAACAAAGTAACAGAAGAACAATATCCATATTTGGACTGCGAAATCTGAGACGCAATAAGCATGAAAACAAGCTGCAAAGAAAACTGAAGATCTTAAGTGGTATGCAGGTACATACTCAACAAATCCCAGATTCTTGACATGGTCCCGCCGGTTTAAAGGAAGCATGAAGCTTTTGGCAAGCTCAAACCTCGCTCAGATTGTGTTAATGCAAGATTTGTTGTGAGAGAACTAGTGCTTTCAGAATAATATGCCGATTAAATTGGTTATGTGGGAATTCTAGAGTATTTACAGATGCAGCCAGAGCAGGCTTGAAGGAAGAACTCCTCTCGATCAGGTTTCAAATGCCTACTAGAATGGTTCATTGTTAGCTGACAATATTTCACACACACACACACACACAGTCTTTGAGGACACTGTGTGTTTGTCTCACACAGCTGCAGGGACTTTGGGGTCACGAAACAATGACATAAATGGAGCAAAGACTTGAAAGGCAGAAGCTCACCAAAAAAACAGTGTCAGATTATGATTTGCTGGAAGAAGGCAATAAAAAACTAAAGATACAAAAAGGTTCATAATTTTCTAATTCATGTTTTTTACAATTACCTCAAAAATGTTTTCAGACCCTTTCAGTTATCAATTTTTTTTATGATTCAGATTAGTCGTAGATATTTTTCTTATCACATATCTAAGTCCCCGTTCTCATAGTTCTCCCACCAGAAGAATATTTTAGTTTTAGCCAGGTTGTTTCCAGGTCTGTCCTCAAGTCCAAGACGCTCTTGACTTGCATTTCCTGCGTAACGCCTCTTTGTCATCCTGTTTAAATGAAACTATCTCTCCCAGTTTGACACCTATGGAGGTTTTTCATTTAAGGCAAGGCAAGTTTATTTGTACGGCACATTTCATGTACAAGGCAATTCAAAGTGCTTCACAGAGCATTTAAAAGCAGAAAAACAAGAAAAGAAAAAGAATCAAAATTAGAGAGATGAAAAGTGAAGGGTGCAGACAAAATACATTCAATTTCCATACGCACAGTTTTCAACCTGGATTTAAACACTGTCAGAGTTGAAGCCTGTCTCACATCTTCAGGAAGACTGTTCCACATGATAGGAGCATGGAACTGAAATTAAGCTTCACCTGGTTTAGTTCTGACTCTGGGCCCCAGCAGGAGACCAGAACCTGAGGTTCTCAAAGTCCGAGCTGGTTCACATGGCTCTAATATGTCAGAAAGGTATTTTGGTGCTTGCCCATGAAGAGACTTGGTGGTCTGTTCTAAGAAAACCAGTGACTAATGCTAGCATGATTAGCCATGTGGACGTGAGGACTGGCCTGTGCCGTTATGTCCGGTCACATAGATCAACAAACAACTCCCCATTTTGACATCTACCTCCAACCTTGAGAATGAATATAGACACATATATCTGGATTGATTAGAAAAACTCATTCAAATGTGGACTTCTTGGAATGGCCTTAAAAAAAGGCGTTCATTTAGCTATTATTAGCATTTAATACCTCCTCCTTACCTTTTCTGTGTAGTGCTGAGACGGTGAACGACGGGCAGTTCCACACGGTAGAGCTGGTGACCTTCGACCGGATGGTCAACTTGTCGGTGGACGGCGGCGAGCCCAAAATGCTGGACAGCCTGGGCCACAGCCAGCCGGCGGCGGGAGAGGCCCCCCTGTATGTGGGAGGTAGGCGTCCCGCTGGCGTCCCGAATCGCGTTCCCTTTTTTTTCTCGAGGCTGAAAATGAGCCGTCTCTGTCCAGGCATGCCCGAGGAGGTGGTGCCGGCCTCCCTGGGCCTCTCCTCCCAGACCCTGAACGTGTCCAGCTTCCACGGATGCATCCGGAACCTGTACATCAACCACGAGCTGCAGGATTTCACCCGGGGCCGCATGAAGCCCGGCGTGGAGCCGGGCTGCGAGCCCTGCCAGCAGCTCTACTGCCTGCACGGCATCTGCCAGCCCAACGCCGCCCAGGTAGCCCCCCACCCCCCACCCGCCACCCACCTGACCTCTTGTTTTTATTTTTTAAAGCTTAACTCATTGACTGGCAGCCATTTTCAGAACAGAGAGTCCCCATACTGCCAGAGTTTTTTTGAGCATTTTGACTGATTTTTCAAGAGCCACAGAATAGTTTGTGCTATGACTATGTAAACGCCGAACACACCAAAAGAAAGAGTAGACTCTCTTCTTTCATCAGGAAAAAAATTTTTGTTTCTACCTTATTCCGTTCTTCCTCGACTTGCGTCTCACCGGCGACATGTTCTCTCATAGCGAACCGTTACCTTTTTCTTATTTGCCTACAGTCTATGCTCATCTCCCATCAAAAGTGACACTGCCACCTAGAGGGTCAATTTGTTACTACATACTCTGTCTAGAAGCCTGATATTTACGGACAAGCTTTAGCAGGTCGTCCCCCAGCCACTCGCGTTGAAAAACATAAAAGACGTCTTTGGCAGTCAACGGTTGTATTTGAATTGACGTCTATAGACGTCTTTGGCAGCCAATGAGTTAATCAGATGGGTAGGGTAAGTGATTGTTCTCTCTCAGGGGCCCCGGTGTCACTGCCAGCCGGGCTGGACGGGACAACAGTGCGACCAGCCGGTCGCAGCAGGCCCGACCGGACCAGATGTCGTCACCATGGAAACTGGCGTCAGTCCATGCGACGGCAACAAGTGAGAGCGCTTTAAGACTTTTCACAATACACTTAACGGGAATAAAAATATATTTGTGCAAATGCTGTTCTGATTTTGAGACTTTTCTTGCTATCAATGAGACAGTTATTGGTTCTAGTGTGTCAGAGATAATTATTTACACAAATACAGATCAAAACCTATGCTCTGACATGTTTCCCTTTGTAAATCTTTAAGAAGAATGCCTCAAATTACATTTGTGGATATTATGGAATGTTACTAGGAACAACATGTTCACTACACTAATATACTAACTTAAAGTTTCCCTCACTTAATGGAATTAACATGTACATAAATCAGAATGTCAAGCAGGAACTGGCCAATAATAAGTGAGTTTAACATATTAAGAGACTGGAAAAGGGTCAGTGTGGTGGCTCTTTGGAAGCTTATTCTTTACTTCCAGAAAACCCCCTTTTACAAGCTCACAATTGAACATTCAGCTAGGAACACAGCTCCAGAAACAAAGTAAATATCCACATTTAAACTGAAGATCTTAAGTGGTATGCAGGTACATAGAGCGGGGCAAAAAAGTATTTAGCAAATAAATTCTTAAAAAATCAGACAATATGATCTTCTGGATTTTTTCTCCTCATTTTGTCTCTCATAGTTGAGGTTGACTTATGATGAAAATGACAGGCATCTGTCATCTTTTTAAGTGGGAGAACTTGCACAATTGGTGGCTGACACTAACTTTTTTGCCCCACTGTACTCAGCAGTTTGCTTTAAGATTTCTGCTCTTTGCAAAGTGGGTTGGATAGACTGAAGAAGGGCTCTTTTAAGTGTCCGGCCGATACTGAATCCGTCTCCTCCGTCCCCCTTCCAGGTGCGCGAGGGGCCGCTGCGTGACGCTGGACGCGCAGTCCTACCGGTGCGAGTGCGAGAGCGGGTACTCTGGGGCGCTGTGCGGCCTCCAGGAGGAGCCGGAGGACCCGTGCCGGACGCTGCAGTGCCTGCACGGCCGCTGTGTGAGGACGGAGGGAGGGGAGAGCTGCGTCTGCCAGCAGGGCTTCACCGGACAGAGCTGTGACATAGGTGAGAGGGACGGTCACACGGGGCCTAAAGGTGGAGCAGGTGTAGGCTGTAGTTCTTCCTAAACATGAAACACGCATGGAAAGCTTTCTGGTTGGTACATAAGAACATTCGGATCTATATTTTTAAAGATTGTATTTATCAGTTTTATCATTTCTGTCCTATATTTTGATTTCTACATTTGATTTCCTTCCTTGCTTCTCATAGAAGTGTTGTGTTGTGCACCAAACACCAAGGCAAATTCCTTGTAAGTCTAAAAACCTACTTGGCAATAAACCTTGTTCTGATTCTGATTCTGATTCTGAATGTATAAAACTCCAACTACATTCTGCATTAGAGTCACTTTAATTTGAAATGTATCTAGAGATACTGGCACAAGGAAGGTGGTCTTAAAATGTGTTATCCAGACCTCTGGAGGTCCCTTACTACTACTAAACTAAACTACTAAAAACTGTTGGTAGCAAATGGGCTGTAAGGATTATCCACTCCAGATTATTGCATGTGTTTTTCAGTGGTCCAAAAAACTACTATTACAGTAAATTGGACTCTGGCCTTATAAGATGATGATAATAATAATAATAATAATAATAATAATAATAATAATAATAATAATAATAATAATAATCATAATAATCATAATAATAATAATAGAAATCTATAAATAATAATAATAATAATACATTTTATTTTTAAAAAGCCCCTTTCATGCCACTCAAGGACACTTTACAAAGACGATCAACATTAAAAAAAACATTGAAACATAAGAAAACATACAAAGTCATAAATACATCTTAAATAAAAACATCAGAAATTAATTAAATAAAAATTAAATGAATAAAACTGTGCAGAATGAGGGGAATTTTAGAGTTAGGGGCGGTTAGGAGGGTAAGAAATTCTAAAAGGGTGGGTTTTGAGTTTGGTTTTGTAAAAAGAGGGAGAGAGTCGGTATTTCGGACGTCAGATGGCTAAATGTTCCAGTTTGGGGGGGGCAGAGCGACCGAAGGCTCTTTTTATATAACGCTGCCCAAAAGTACCGATTAGGGATCCGTGCTGCCTTTATGTTTCGAGTTTGTCTCTTTTCTCTCGCTGCTTTATCCAAATCTCAGCGGACTCATTTGCTTCTTGCAGATATCAGTTGCTCGTTACAAAAAAAAAAAACTTTTTTGTGTCTTCCAGTGTGGACTGGAAAACACGTGTACTTATTTTTATCTCGGGGGACTTAACGCTGGTAGAAGCCTTTTGAAATTGTTCCAGGTGACAACAAAAGAGCTGAAAATCCCTTATTTTTCAAAACGCTGAAACTGTAGACCCCCCTTCTCTCAGATTTATTTATGTATTTATTTACGTTGTTTATGGTCATTAACAAGTTGTTAACCTTGAACTGCTAGCTTCGGCTAATGGCTAATAATAACGTGCTACCATTAATCAAGTACATATCCGACTCCGCCCACATCGAAGTCGGCCATTAACATTGGCCATTTTTACAGAGAATTTTTAGACGCTGAATTTGAGACAGCGAATTTGAGCAAGTTGAATTGGAGGACAACGAAAATATGGCATTTGAATTTTGAAAAGTTGAATTTTTTTTATATGCTGAATTTTTTAAACACAGAAAATTTAAACGGTGAAAAATAATGTATATTGAAAATTAGCTCACTTTGAATGACATTGAATTTTTTTTTAGGTTAAAAAGATATTCTGAATTTATTTTAACCTCCTGAGACCCTGCGTCCTCATAAGAGGACATAGCATTTTTGCCTCTCTTTACCATGATACTTCTTTTTTCTTTCAACTTTGACCTCTTGGCCTCATAGCAGACGCTATCAGACACTCTAAAGTAAAATGGGTGCTATACATTTTCAACCAATAATGTTCTTATTGCGTAATTAAAAAATTGTTAATAAGTAATTTGGACTGTCAGAACAAAATTCCAATAACATTTAATTAGATACATAAACTAGCATTTTAAATATAAAGATAAACCCAACTGAGCCTATACGAAGCACAACTACCTGTACCATGACAAATTTTAGTTATTAAACTTAGTAGGTTGTACTAATCCCATATATCTTTAAAAAAAGCAAAAATGCACACCAATTAAAATCTGGGGTCTCAGGAGGTTAAAAAGTAAGCACTAATATATACAACATTCAAATTTCAGAGGTATTTTTTTATTCGAATTCCGATGGCACATATTTACTTCCATACTTGTGTTTTCCCAGAATCCCCGTGCGGGGGCCGGCCGGTGCGGGACTACCACCGGCTGCAGCGGGGCTCCGTCCTCTGCCAGACCGCCAAGCCCTTCTCCTGGGTGGAGTGTGGGGGCCGCTGCCCGGGGGGGTCCGGGGAGGCCCCCCCCACCCCCGCCTGCTGCGCCCCTTTGAGGGTCCGCCGGCGGAAGCTCACCTTCGAATGCGAGGACGGCACCTCCTTCACGCAGGATGTGGAGAAACCGGTGGAGTGCGGCTGCAGGCAGTGTGTGTAGCACTGCGGGGACACACACACACACACACATATACATACACACACACACACGCTCACAAACCCAGCTAGAGACTGTTGGAATTCCCACACGCTATGTGCGTCCGCTTCCACACACAGGCAGGTCTTCCCTCTTTTCAGACGTGAAAGCAACTAAATCCACCTTCCTCTCATCCTCCTCTTCCTCACCGGCCGGAGGAGAACCCACCCGCTAACTGACCGTAACTGACTAACTCCCTTCCGGGCGCGACGGAGACTAAAAAGCCGGACTGAGAAACCACTTCTGGTCGTCCCTGTGAAAGAGGAGCGCCGTCTTAAGAAACTCAGTTAAGTTATCTTGCCTCCGTTTCAAAGGAACTGAGCCCTGGGTTTTGTTGGAATATCCGTTAAAAAAAAATGTCTCGTCCCTCATCTGAGCCTTTAGCTTCTCCACTCTCTTTAAAGCGTTGCGTACTTTGACCCCGAGATGGTTTTTGTGACATCATAGTGGTGTAATCATGTCCGTTTTCATTCATAATGATCCAAGCTCACCGGTTATGAATCCCTTACAAAAGGCTGTTCATATGCGTCCCTGTGTGAGAGATTTTCAGGCCCTCCTCCTCTGAATAAACCACATTGATGGGGGGATTTCTATCACTTTTGGTCTTTCTGACCTTGTGACTCCTGCTTCTCGGCCAAAAATACTAAAAAAACAAAAAAAAAACTGATGACACAGCAACATCAACTCTCTGCTAGGCTAATGAAAGCGAGATCATCCATCAGTGTCAGAGGGTGGATTAATGGGGGCCACCCAGACCGAGTAAAAAGCCCCAAAAACCGGAGTCTGACAGAGTCTGACGTCTCCATGTGAGCCGAATGCGCGCTGACACATTTGTTAACATTGTCAGCATTCATAAGTGATGGTTAGTGTTGCGGAAATCTGTCTGAGAAGGACAGCTCCTCTTTAAAACGGCGTTTAAAAACCCGCTCCGGTGGCATTAATGCATCTTTTTAGGAGACATTTACAGTCTTATTAGTTAGTGGACCGATCAGGAAGGGGTCCGTGCTAAAAAAGTGAATTAAAAAATCCAAAGACAGTCAAAAAGGCCTGAAATTCTCACATTGATAAAGCTGTAACCACCAAATATAGGTTTCTAGTTGTCAATAACAGTGGTAGAGCAACCCTAACCCTAACCCTAACCCTACGGCGAGAAGAAAACAGCCTTGTGTTTATCTAGTCCGGGGTTATGGGAGTATATAGTCCAACTGAGGAGAAGCTTAAGTGAAGCTCAGAGTTTTTAGGGTTTCTGAGGTCAGAGGCTGAAATAAGAAAAAGAAAAACGAACCCCAGAGGACAGTTTGACCAGGGATGCTGTTTTTTTTCATTGATTAACGCAACCATTTGCAGTCCCCTTGCAGAAACTGACCAATTTCACCGGCCACAGATTAAAAATCAGCTTTTTTTTAGTCGGTATGAAACCACAAGATTTTTCCAAGACAGTGATAAGTCATTACAAATTAATCCACAACTGTTAACATTACCCAGGAATCTGCCGGGCTTAAAAACCAGACTCTGAGTTTTGTTGTGACTCCACATTTCCACTCCACTAAATGAACACTCACTAAATGAACACCCAAGGGGTCTTGGGAGTGAGTAGAATTGGATTATTAATGCAGTTAGATGGTTTGGTTTGCTAGTCTGAGGCTGATGTACGGTAGTAGTTTGTTCACGGACTGGATTCTATTCTTTAAATTGCTTTAAGAGCCCCGATTTGAGATCAGTTCCGAAACATCCCGGACAAAAATATGATAAGCAACTGTTAAATCTGCAGTGGTTCGGAGATTTCTTTTTAAATTTTTCAAGCAGCTCACGTCTAACATTGCTTTTTTTTGTTGTTTTTCCTGGAAAAACACGGAGTTTACTTGAATTTGAAGCATTTGGGATATCATCTTTTAATGAACTGAATCTGTGAAATGAAAATGTTTGGTTGCATGAGATTATGTTTATTCTAAAACAGGAGAACCTCAAGAGTTGTTTGTACATGGGGGGGGGGGGGTTGTTAAGATGGACAGAGTGTGTTAAAAAGTGTCAAAATACAAACAACGTATGCTTCCTAAACCAAACTGCTTCTTTTAGCTTAGCTATGCTACGGTGTGTTGTTGCTCTGGTCAAATGCTCCCCCCTCTGATTTTTCAGCAGAGTCAGTGAACGCATCGGACCACCGCGACCCGGAGAAACTAGCTTTTATAAATATATATGATGCCATGTTATTTATATGGATGTGCTACTAAAAAGATGCGTAATATGACGTTTTAACCCGATTCATTTTTTTCTATTTTTGTGTCTCATGAATTCAAAACGAAACTAATTAATTTTTTTGTTGTTGTTCATATAACTGCAGTACACACAGTAACAACCTAACAGATTGCATTTTTTATAAGTTTATGACATAGTATTGTCATAGTATTTTTCTATATTGGGCAGGATGTTTTCACTTTGTGGTCTGTAACCCCGTAGATAAGAAGGAGTTATTTAGATGTCTTTTCATGTTTATTTAAATAAAGTGCTGTTTGTCCATCCCTGCTTTTTTTTTCTCCCTTCAACCTCGACGTTGGCTCTGTTTGCCTTGTTGTGGCTTTGACCTTTGACCTCTTTGTGCCAGGCTTCTGAGGCCAGGAGAGAAAGCGAGAGAGCGGGGAAAGAAAAAGATAGCGAAGGGGGGGGGGGGGAGGGAGGGAAAGCACAAAGATGATTAAAAAAAAAAGAAGGACGGAGGAGGGAAAACAGAAGCAAAAAAAGCCAAACAAAGATGGAGGACAAAATGCAGAATGGAGCCGGACAAAAAACAGGAGGGGACGTCCCACTGGGAGGAGGGAGGGAAGAGGGGGAGGGGGGGGGGGATCTGGGAGACGGAGGCCGATGAATGAAGCGGTGATTTATGCGTCCCTCTGTAACCATAAAACATAACGCACGTCCCCATTGGCTGGCTCTCCTCCCCCAACACGCCGAATACAAAAAAAAAATCCGTCCAGCTGGCTCTCAAGTGAAAGCTGCCGCATCCTTTTCCATCAGCCCCACCTCCACCTCTGCAAACCTTTCCCCCCGCGCCATCTTTCCCCCCTCCCCCCCCTCCCCCCCTTCCTCTGTACGCTCATATGTCTCCCAGGGTCTTTAAAGAGGGATAAATTCACAGCAGCAGCATAAGCACCAGCATCCCTACCCCCCAATTCCAATAAAAACCCTCTCCCCCCGCCGGTTTGCTGCACACAAAGAAGCCAAAAACGCACGTTTGATTTGAGTCGGAAAGACTCTCTGAAGATCTTCCGAGGATGTGGCTTTTCATTTTGAGGAGCGGCGTATTTAAGCACAAATTTAAGTCCAATCAGTCCGGCGAGCCTCGAATAAAAAGCTCCAAGCTGTCGTCCTCACCTCTCTAATGCATGCTCACACCCGCTGTATTAATAGAGATCGTGCACATCCCGGGAGCCAAAAAAAAAAATTCTGCGGCGTGTCTATCGAGAGGGGAAAAAAGTGTGAAAATCTAGGAGACGTATTTGGGTGAGGTTGGTGTCACCAGGGGCCTTCCTCTCAAATCCAAACTAGACTTCTTATTCAGTCTCGTGCTGGATTTAAATGGGTCCAATGTTCTCGTTCGATGGCCTTTTTCTTCTCTCGATCCAAGTTTCTGCGAGAGGACCGTAAACTCATTCCTGTAATGATAGAAAATAAAGCCGAAACCATTTAAACGAAGCCTTCGGAGCTCCTCAGCGCTTGAGAGAAAAGTGTTTTTATTGGCTAGAAACATTTGATGAGATGTGGTTGAAACTTAAAGGAAACTAGACTAAACCAGTCCTGATCCCTTTATTTTAAACGGTTGAAAAAGCCCGAGGACGACCGTGAAATCTTTAAATTTAACCACTATTATCAGAAATTCTTACGATTCAAAGGCCCACACTCCCAGTTTCAGAAAAAGTGTTTTTATTGGCTAGAAAAATTTGATGAGATGTGGTTGAAACCTAAAGGAAACTGGACTAAACCAGTCCTGATACCTTTATTTTAAATGGCCTAAAAAAGCCCGAGGACGACCGTGAAACCTTTAAATTGAACCACCATTATCAGAAATTCTTACGATTCAAAGGCCCACACTCCCAGTTTCTGGTTGACCACATCCCTAAAGACATCTATTTGTCAGTAGTGACCGATTGGAGACTCCGTCAGTGGTGTTTTTCTCCATTCTGTGAGCGGTGCGGTCACTCAGCGGGCCGCGCGTGCTGGTTCTGTCCACCGGCAGCAGGGGGCAGCGTGGGGACCCCTCTGGATTCTGTTCCGGAAGGTTTCCAGACATCCTCACCTCCTCTCCTCCATCATCTTATCTCCTTCTCTCTTTCTTACTGCTGCGTATAACTCTCACTTTCTTTTGTGTCCCTTTACTTTTACCCCACTCTGACTTCCTGTTCCCCTCTTCACCTGGTCCAATAAGGCGCCATTTTGTCCTTTCTTTCTTGTTTCCCTTTCACTTTTCCTCCTCTTTCGTTTACCTTTATCTTTATCTTTACCTTTATCAAACATCCATCTCACACAGAATAGTGACAAATGTACAGAAGACCCTTCAAAGGTGGTGAAAAACATTCTCATGTTACCCACACAAAAACGTGTAGACAAGAACCTTTTAAATAAAGTCATCAATATTCGCTTTCGCCGGGGGGCCGAGAGGAAAAGCGGGAGAAAAAGACACATTTTGGGGTTGTTTTTTTTTTAAACAACCCCAAAAGGTTTCAACTTTACATTTTGCTCATTTCTCCTGTGTTTGTACGGTTGTGTATTTTTCGTGAGATCAAGCGGAGCCCGTGGTTTATTGGGAGAAACAGGTTCATACTCCTACTGAAAAGGCCCCCACCCCCACCCACCCACCCACCAACCGTTTCTGCTCCTGTCTTCTAATTTCCTCTTTTTTTTCAGCACTTTTTCTCCTCTTTTATCTTCCATTTTCCCTCTCTTGTCACCTCCCCCATCCCCCTTCC